TCCGAAGGTCTGCATGCAAACGTGCATGCATGCATGGACGGACGATGGATGGATGGATGGATGGATGGTTGGGGTGCATGTATCTGTGTATGCACGTCTGCATGCATGTACATGTATAGATGTCGTCGGAGTTACGCATGCTCTGCTCCACCGTAACTCTCATGCAGAGTGATGCATTGTGATGTAATGCAACGACATGTATGTATGGTAGGGCATGCAGGCAAGCAGGCAGGCAGGCAGGCAGGCAGGCAGGTTGGTAGGTGAGCTTGGTAGGTAGGTAGGCATGCAGGCAGGCAGGCTAGGCCGGTGGATGTCTACTTTTTCAACCTTTGCACGCATACATCCAGACCACTATACCACTTTATTTAGAAAGTCCTCTCAGCTGATATCCTGATAACTAGATTGTCAATAGATGATACCTATCATGGAATACATATGTGAGGCAGGAGAGAAAAAAGAATAGAGAGAGGTCGATGTTGAAGATATGAAAGGCCGCCTTCATTACACGGCAGGTATGCCGTGGCTCCACCATTCCAGGCCCCGGCTTTCCGAATCCGACTTCGCACTTCAGGTGCTTCGAGCCTCGGGGACCCAATGTATGGCTTAGCCGCCTAGCCCTGAGGGTTCGGGGTCCGATAGTGTTGAAACTGCCTCTGAACACCTCTCTCTGCAGGCATTTGAAGCACCCGCATCACCAGCGCATCGCAGAGGAAATACCAAAAGTCTAACCAGCTGCCACCGAACGGTACAACGCAAAAACACAATGCAGCCAAAAGACGATACAGTCTTGATGGAAATAAGCTCGTCCTCCTCCCTGAAGGCAAGAGGCTTTGAAGCTTCGGGGCTTGCTCTGGGGATTAACTGCGTTGGAGGCGGCCTCCAGAACTCTAGCTGCCAAGTAAGATAAGCCACACCTCCAAGTTTTGCTCCCTTTGCTCACGCGAGAAAACCCCGTGAGAGCTCCGAGATCCAGGATGAAGGAGGTTTTGGTGACATCCTCGTACCATGTGTGAGCGAAGTTTCCTCGCCGATGCAAACCGATCCGGAAATGCGGTACTTCACACATGTTGATCAATCCAAGAACCTGACCGATGCCAAAACGACATAACTGCAACAGCAACAACCTCAACAACACTCACAAAAGGACGACAACACAAAGAGGCTTTCTTCTTTTCAGCTGGTGCGAAAGCGTCGAACAGTAGCTGAGGAATTGCTGAGCAGCCAGCGGAGCGAAACCTGGCGGGTTTGGTCCCTCGATGACGCGCACCTGCGCCTGGCTTGCGAAGGCCCGTGGTGCTAATCATTCTACACTGTACACTGTTCTGCTCTGCTGCAGTTGCAACATTTGCACGATCATGTCGGTACTCTTAAGAAGCCAGGGGCTTCAAGCAACGCACTCGAAGCCTTCAAACGGTGATTCTCGTTGATGAGGGACTCCATCACCTGGGGGGCAGAGGAAGAAGTCCCCAAATGCTTGTGTTGCCCGCAGGACCCGCAACTGGAGACATCGTTCGGCAGCATCGCCAACTACATACCTCCGATACACCACTGCAACCCACCAAGACCGCTCAATCTGCGCTACGTGTCCTTGTTCTTTCGGCGGAACATTCCCTTTACCTCAAACTTACCACATTGTCTTGCCGATGGGATCTAACGTGCCAGCAACACAAAAGTTCACTGCAACAGAACCTAGCCACAACAAGGAGACATAATCAAGCCCAGCATGACCTTGACAACATGCAGCCTCCGTGGTGAAGCCTGCAGCAACCGAGACCCTTACTATGTCATCGGGTGCAGATACGGGGTGGTTTCCGACCCTGCTCGGGGAAGGAAGCCAAGGTGGTATGATATTTCTGCATGGGCATGCGCTTCGATCAAGCATTGCCGGATGGTGAAGTGAAAACTTAAGCAGCAATGCTGGGCTGGATGAACACTGAAGAAAATCAACCCAAGCTCGCTCGTCGCAGCAGCAAAAGCACCAAACAGACGACGGCAAACTGAACAACTCGTGCCCAGGGCGAAACGCGAAACTACTGCTATCACGACGCGGAAGACAATGATATCGAAGTGTGTCCATAGTTGCAGTACTGCTCGATCTCGCTTCAACCCTGACCTTGTCCCGATAGCTGCACAACCGCACAACCCCTCAACTGCAAATCCAAAACCTTAAACTCAAAACCGCAACCAGCCTTCGAGTGTGATCGCGCCCCGATCTCCTGGAGCTCTTTCTTCAGATCCTCCGGATAATCGGGCGATTTGAGTCGGATGTGTTCTGGGTACTGGGAGGGAGAGAGGGAGGAAATTATGGGGAGCAGGAGAGTAGGGAGGGGAGGGATGGACAGAGGGATGGTGGGACAAGCCACACACACGAACTTGACACCCTGACCTGAAACCATCGACATCAGTTATCACCCGCATCTTCGGCTTTGCCGTCTTCACCCTCACCATCATCATAATCTTTGCGTCATTGCGACACATATCCTCACAAACAACACCAACAACGACGACAAAACCCACAACAGCTGCAGCCGCCACCGCGGCAGCAGCGGCAGCAGCAGAGGCAGCGACGACAACAACGACGACAGCAACGACGGTAGCAATAGCTGTCCACACTATGCTTTTCATCAGCACATTCGTGTGCATTGTAGCATCGTCTGTCGCTAGCATCCCCATGGCGTTAAACTACGACGGCAACACCACACTGCGATCATCGAAAAAGATGCCGGGGCAGTCCAGATTCTCGCTCTGAAGGGTGAGCACCTTCGCAAATGATTCCGGTGGAGTCCGCTTCTCAGGAGCTGCTTGGCTTGGGCCCTTCGGGCCCTCAGGCCCATGCTTTTGCGAAACAGGAGTTGGAAGAAGAAGCGATGCTCCTATGAGACCCAAGCCTGAGGCTTTCCGGAAACTTCCCCCGAGACTACGCTCTCTGGACCTGATGCCCATCTTATTCAGCGTCATGACGGCTACTGGTCCCTTCGTGCTGCCTGCTCGTGCAGCTTCTTGTAGTGGCTCTGCACATCCGTGATGGTCTGCCTTGGTGTCTTGACACTGGGCTGTGGAAATTCGGAAGTTCACCTTCTGCGCAGTGTTTGCTCCTCCCTGCTGGCCCGGAACGAGTCGTGGCTTCCGACATACGGTTAACACCTTCCAATCTGCAGCTGCAGGTTTCCGAATGATGGAGGTTGCAACATGCATGCTTGTAGCCAGGCCGCTGTATGGCGATGGGCAGCGCCATGGCTTCAAAGCCTTGCAGGCAGTTGTAGCTTGCAGCCTGGGGTGGACCCAAAGGTCTCCGACTTGATGGTATCTTGCTGCTTGCATCTCGAGGATCCAACTGTACATGGACATGCACACAGCCACCCGAAGAGAAAGTTTAGCAACAAGCAGCATTGTCGGAGCAGCGGTGGTAGCATAGTGGAAGTAGTCATAGTACAAGAAGCAGCCACAGCAGCAGCAGGAGGAGTAGTGGTAGCAGTAACAGTAGCAGTGGTAGTAGTAGTAGTAGTAGTAGTAGTAGTAGTAGTAGTAGCAGGAGTAGTAGTAGGAGGAGTAGTAGCAGTAGCAGTAGTAGTAGTCGTCGTAGTAGTAGTAGTAGTAGTGGCAATAGTTGTGGTAGTGGTGGCAGTAGTGGTGATAGTGGTAGTAGCGAAAGCAGTAGCAGTAGCAGTAGCAGTAGTAGTATCAGTAGTATCAGTAGCAGTAGTAGTAGTAGTAGTAGTAGTAGTAGTAGTAGTAGTAGTAGTAGCAGTAATAGTAGTAGTAGTAGTAGTAGTAGTAGTAGTAGTAGTAGTAGTAGTAGTAGTAGTGGTCGTGATATGTACTAGTGGTAGTAGTGATAACGGTGCTAGCTGGCGCTGGCAGTGGTGGTAGCAGCGGAAGTAGTGGAGTCGTCGTCGAGTCGTCGTCGCAGTCGTAGTAGTCGTGACACTCATAGGGAAGTAGCCGTGGCAGCAGCAGGACTCGTACTAGTGCTAGTACTAAACCAAACTAGTACTAGTACGGATATTCCAGAAGAAGAGAGAATGCGTAAATCTGCCTGCAGCGCGAGCCCAGGTCCGCAGGGCGCGCAGTGAAGAGCCACTACAACGCCGCACTTGTGTTCTCTATTGGCCTTCAACCCGGCTACTGCCCTTGGCCTACGAATGCCCGAAATCCAATCAGGTGGTGATCATTCTGAGGCTTCTCTGGATACCTTTTATGCAAGCATAGGCAATATTCTTGGATTTTTGCTGGTGTCGCATTGGTTTGCGACCTGCCGCCCAGTTCCTGCGTACGCCTCCTGCCCATCACCTGGGCAGGGCTGGCATTGTTGGCTCAGACACAATCTGCAACTGACCGCAATTGAAGAAGGCTTGGCTCGAAAACAAGAGGAGCTTTGGTGACTGGGGCTCTGGCAACTCCAAGACCACAGCTGGCAAATGCTGGAGCCAAAGGTTCCGGCGACAACTGCTCACACAACGTGCGATACGGAGGTAAAGAACACTTGCAGAGAGAAGAAATGAACAGGATAACATGTTTTAGGAAGCCAGCACTACGGCAATGCCATGGAAGCAAAGGAATGGCTCCCACGTGAACTGCCGGTTATATTGACAAAGGGCTGGTTACGTGAAAACACCTGGCCACTTTGCGATACCTGAAGATGCGTGGCTGCTTTGCCATAACCCCCCCCGAACAACCACGAACCTCTACTTGTATCCCAACAAGCAGATGCAAGTAGTTTGGTGGCATCAGAGCTGAGAAGTGGCATGGAGATCACAGCAGAACTCGGGGTCACTTCGGCTCCCAAGCCCTCTCCAAAAGTCCTCGAGTCGACCTCAGGCTTCCCTCGTTTGTCTCCCCGACCCTCGCTAGGCCGCTTGGCGGTTGCACCGGCGTTGCACGGGCGCTGAACTTGTGCAGCTCTGCTCTTTGCTAAGACGTGGTGTAATTAGCCCAAGCAGGGCAATGGCGTACTTCGTCAGCTTTCCTCTTCGAGGTGGCCAACAGGTACGGGGTAAGGCTCACAGATCAGAAGCGTCGTCTTGTGGACGTGCCAGCTGCCTCTGTGGACATATGCACATGAAGCACTGCACTACGTCACACGTGACAGATCACACCCAAGAAAGCGAACTTGATTCCGAGGAGCCATAGAAGGTAAGCCAAAGGGGAGACCGACAGCACGGCGCCAAGAATAGCATAGCCAACAGCACAGTAGTAGCTGATCCCGCGTGGCTTGCAAATCGACAAGTATGCGATGGTCGGAATCAGGAGGACGTTGAAGCTGGTGATGGTGCCTAGATCGACGGATGTTGCACGGTTGGCACTTAGAAACAAGGTGGGTCTGCGGCAGCATGGGATCGCTGCAATGTTGAGGATTGAAATCGAGGGTCAAGGGCTTCAAATCACTGCAGCGTTACCTCTAGGAAGGCCTTTGCGCTACCGCAACTCCAAGCAAGCGTTGTTTGCGGCTGAGATCCCCAATTCAGTTTTTGATCGATTGATTTGGGACGGAAACCGCTGAATCATGATTTTTGCTACCACGCCAGAGACTTGCTTTACCCCTTATTCTAAACAACCGCGAACATTGTTAGCTGAGCTCGGCCACAGCCGCTGCGAGGTTTGAAATAACATCCCAACCAGTAAGCCTTGCAGGACCAGGGCCTTCGAACCTTTACATGGAGACTCATGAGCATCTGCACATTTCACAAGCAGAGCAACCGCACAACTCAAATTGATGCATCCTGTGAAGCAATCATTGCTTCTGAATGCTTGTCTCAGCTTCAGCCCAGGGGCAACCAGCTACGCTGTAGAAGGCCTCAGTAGATGAGCCCTCTCGCCCAGCATTAAGACTACAGAAGCAAAGCGGCCCAAACTTGTTTCCCCTGCCCACCCAGCCCAAAAAAAAAGGCATCCCGCCTCCAAACGATCAGCAAAGAACATCGCCACTGTGGCCAGCAGGACCATAACAGGCATCATGAGCAAGGGCCCAGCGCTGTCACCTGGAGGCAGCCATCGAAGGCTCCTAGCATATGCATTCGCCAGTGGTCTTGCAAGGGGGACGGCGTTGCCAAGCACCTTGATCGCCATCCAGACACCGGCAATCCTGCGGAGCTCCCCTTCGATGTTGGCCATTACGTCGGGCTGCAAAGCTGTGCCATAGATCCGATAGGCCATTCCACTACAAAGAACTGAGACCGTGGTCGCGATTGGCCAAGCACCAAGAATCGACACCCGCAAGTCTGTGGGACTTCGAGTGGTATGCATCACGCCGACGATCAGCGGATGTGTGCCCACGGCAAAGAAGATCAAAGCAAAAGTGCTGGGAATGTAGCCCGGGTCGGCCAGGTTAGACATGTCGGTCGCCCAGCTGTCCGGCCCACCATAGAGGAGTAGCCCCAGGATCACCACGGTGGCCGCAGAGGACAGCAAGCCGACGTAGGCAAAGAGCCGGTCGGAGAAGGCCGACCTTGCACGGGAGCGAGGCTGCATACAACGAGGCCATGCAGTCGACAAGCTTGTCAAGCCGCAATGCCACACACAGGGCACAAGCTGCCCCAATGGCAGCGTTCTGCGAGATTGGAAACATGGCAGCCAAAGCATAACCTCAGCTGTCGATGCCGGCTTTGATGCTGCTGCTAACGTTGTCACCACCGCAGCTGAAATTGCAGCTGGTGGCGCTGCTGCTGCGGCTGCTGATGACGAGGACGGTGGTGGTGATGATGGTGATGATGGAGATGATGATGTTGATGATGAAGCATCTCGGCCCGAGTAGCACCCGATAGGATCCCCCCGCATGATGGCGCGTTGGGCGCCGCGACTGCTCTTCTGGTGGGCCACTCTGTTGTGCATAGCTCACGACAAGGACCACACCCTCTCGCCGATGACTAGCCAAGGGGATACCACGCTGCATATGGGCCGCCGGGGTCCCAATTCCCCGGGGAGCACTGGCAGACATCCACTCGACAGCGACCATGCCACCAGTGTTCCAGATGCGAGGGTTGAGGCGGCTTCCGCTACCGCCCCTGGAGCAGGACAAGAAACTTCCACCGAAGCTCCGGACATTGCGAAGCACTGCGGAGAGGCTCCATCAGCGATCTCCCGTCAGAGGCGGGTAAAGCGCGCACACATGCGCGCAGTACGACGAGCACAGCAATCTGCAGATGGCACTACTATGTATCGGGGCAGACGGCTCACATTGCAACAGCTGGGTGGCAGAGTGGATAGCACGACGCAGCCAACAGCGCGGCGTGCTGGCACCACTTCCGTTGCCAGACGGCCCACGCTACGCATTCTGTCTAAGAACGTGGGCGGCCTCTGCACTGCTACACACGACATCTTCATGGAATGGCTAACACGGCCTAACAACCCCTATGACGTCATTTTCCTGCAGGAGACACACTATGGCTTGGGGCGCTCGTTCACGGAGTGCCGCATACCTGGCTGGCTGGTCATATCCAGCCCAGATCCGGCGCATAGATGGGCTGGGGTAGCCGTCTACATCTCCGAAAAGATCGCAAGCGCCTTGGACATTCGGTTTCAGGAACTTGTTCCGGGTCGACTTTTACATGTCCGTGTACCCATAGGTTCCCCTAAACAACAACAACACCTGGACCTCATCAACGTTTACCAGTGGGCCTGGGACCCCGACCCCCCTAAGCAGCGACTGCACAAGCGCCAAGAAATCTGGCAGAAGCTCAGTCGGCTCTTGAGTGTACTGCCGCGTCGAAATGTTCGATGCACTGCTGGTGACTTCAACTGCGCACTGCAGGCAGATGGCACGCATGTAGGCCCGGGCCTCTACCGAAACCGGGGCAGTGCAGGTTTTCCTGACATGTCTGATTTCCAGCACACCCTAGCCTCGGGGAATATGTGCGCGCTGAACACTTGGCGCGCAGGCCATAGGTCAGCAACCTACTGGGACCCCCTCAACCAGGCTCGATCTAGTCAGATAGATTTCATTGCACTTAGTCAGGCACATACTGATGCACAGGCCCGACGGTGTCATGTGTTGCCCGCTATTGACTTCTCGCCTTGGCGCGCTGGCGGGACTCACAGAGCCCTGACGGCTAGCATCACGATCCCTGCTTTCTATGCCCAGGTCAAACCGCGCCCGCTACAGTCGGGCCTCTGCAGAAGTGCGCTTCGGGAGGCCATCCGTAGCGGAGCTGAGAGTGCCAGCGAGCTCGAGCACCGCTTGCAAGCCAGGCTGGCTGAAGCCGCGCCTAGCACAGCGCCTGAACTGACGCGCGTAGTGCATGAATGTTGCCAAGAGCTCTTCCCTCAGCGCCCTAACCCTAGACCCCCCCGTGCCTGGCAGACCCCGGAGTCTAAACTCGATGTCAAACACTTGTGGGATAAGTATAGGGACCTTAAGACCTTACACCAACAATACCGAACCCTGCGTCTTGGTAACAGAGACAGAGGACTCCTAGCTTTTGCCTTCGAAGCTTTCCGGCGGAATGCCGCCTTTCAACGCTGCCAAAAGGCCCTACGCATCAGAGGCAAAGCCAGACGTAAAGCTCTCGTCACTGACATCCTTGACTCGGCTGAGAGTGCAGCAGCGAAAGGCGACATGCATGCCTTATACCAGTGTTTCCGCAAGCTTGCACCGCGGAGCCCAAAGGAGCGGATCCAGATCCGAGGAGACGATAATGCCATCCTTACACCACAGCAGGAATTTGAAGCCATACATGCATACTTCAACACACTCTACACACAAGGGCCACCTAAAACCCAGACCTCACATACCCTGCAAAACCCCTACATCATCACAGATGAGGCGATTCTCACCAGCCTCCACAAACAGGCCCCAGGTAAGGCAGTCCCTCAAGGCAAAGTGCCACCGGATGTGTGGAAGCGGTACGCGGCGCAACTGCTACCGTACGTTCGTGCACTCTTCCAGAAGCACCTAGAAGCAGGTGCTCTAGAGTTGCCACCTGACTGGCGTGACGGCTGGCTCTGCTTACTCCCCAAACCCAATAAGCCTACCAAGATTCCCGCCAACCTTAGACCCATTGCCCTTCAATGCCCTTTAGGCAAGTGCTTAGCCCGAATCATTAAAACCCGCATCCTTACACACATCTTGCCCCACCTCCAGAATGTCCCGCAATTTGCATATTTGCCGGGCAGAAGCACGCAAAACGCCATCAGCCGCGTGGCACAACATTGCCAGCGAGCCCGCCAAGCTCTTGCTGGACAGCGTAGAGAGGTTCATGAGCGCAGAGCCGGACAGAAGTGCATCCAGGCGTCCGGCGCTGCATTGCTCAGCTTAGATATGAGTAAGGCCTTCGACAAAGTCAGTCATGATTACTTGGCCCGCGCCATGCGGCACCTAGGCATTGATGAAGATACGGTCCAGCTCACGCTTGCACTGCATGCGGCCCAGTACCATCTTCAACATCATAAGTGTACGGGTAGTATCTCCATACAAAATGGCATCCGGCAAGGATGTGTACTGTCGCCGCTGTTGTGGGTGTGCGTAACCACCTACATGTTGCACTGCCTGGAGCAACGCACTTGCACGCGCTGGGTGCGAGATGATGTTACGGCCTTTGCCGACGACTTCATCGCAGGCTTCACCCTGGACAGCATAAACGATGCTCAGCTCATGGCTGAGCGTGTGCAACACCTGTTTGCCGTGCTCCAGGAAGCGGGGATGCAAACAAACGCCGACAAGTCGCAGTTTCTCCTTAAAGCAATTGGAGGGCCCTTGCAACGATGGCTAGCTAAACGCAGCTATCGCTTAAAAGGCAAATTGTACTACGACCTTGGCACCCCCTTCCGTGCACTGCCTCTCCCATACACTAGCACAATCGATTACCTAGGAGTGGTCATGAGTTATGGTGCCTACGAATTGCAAAGTGCTGAAAAGCGCATTCGCGCTGCCAAAGCCACCCTCGCACAGCTTTCCAAGTTTTTGTATGGGCGCAGAGGTCTGAGCCAGGCGCACAGACTGCAGATGTACAGCACGTGCGTACGCAGCACAGCATTGTATGGCCTCTCGGCGGTAGGTGTTACGCTCAAAAGCCTGAAAGCCCTACACGCCCTCGAAATCAAGCACCTCCGAGCGATTGCCCGATCACCCCGTCACCTTACCCATGAAACCAACCAGGACCTGTATGCTAGACTCCGCTACAAACCTGCCGTTGATGTGCTGCAAGATTACATGCGTGGACGTGTGCAGACCCTAGCGAGTGCATCGTTTCCAGGAGCGATAGAGGAGCTAGCATGGCAGACTCAGTTGGCGCGGGACCTTAAGGACACCAAGGCCATGATGCATACCACTCTCGTGCCTTGTGAGAGCCGTAGTCACCCGTGCCCGGTGTGTGGTGTCTACTTTAGTGACCAGCGTACCATGCGAATACACTGCGCTAAAAAGCACCATCGTAGTCTAGTTCCTGCCTCGCTTGCGCGCCCCACTGATCGCTCCAGCACGAACTTCATGGAGCACTGTGTGGATGGCATGCCCACCTGCCGGCACTGCCATGTTGTCTTTCGTAAGTGGCGAGGCTTTCAGAACCACATCCTTAGACAGTGCCCGGTCTTACATGCCACTGCACCACAGCCCCCACCTGACCCCGCCACTGGGCCAGTCCCACCGGCCTCACACCCTGTCGAGCAGTCCGCTGCAAGGGTAGAGGCCCCAAGGCAGGCACAGTCTGAGGCTGCGCCAGAACATCGACCAGCCGAGCCGCTGTTCACAGCTGCTCACACTGCAGAATCGCTACAGTCTGACTGGATCTCGTTTGCAGAGCAAAATGGACAGGACCTCAGCGCCTATTGTGCATTTTGCCACCAATGGTGCAGCAAAGATAAAGGGGGCATCAAGAACCACATTCGTCGCATGCACCCGGAGCATTGGGAGCATCGCGTTACGGTAAATCAGCGGCTCAAAGCACACTACCGCCTGCGCTACCGCGGCCCCTGTCGAGCCTGTGGCTTCAGGCCGGCCAGCACTGCACCTCATACCCCGATCTGCACTGCATACTTTCAGGCATGCCTCATGCATCAAATGCTTTACCCGGAGGCTTCCCTTGCCTATGGCGATGAGCGCGGCGGACGAGGTTCAAAAATTCTTCGGCAAGCACCTCTCTTCGTTCAACCAGCAGGAGGCAGAGACAGCGAAGCGCACCCCAGTCCCGGAGGACGAACCCAAGAACAAGTACAGCCGCCCCTCCAGCAAAGGAGGCAAGGGACAGAACTACTGGGGAAACCGTGGGAACCGCGGTTGGGGCTCCAACACGTGGACCCAAACATGGAATGGCGAGGACGTAGTGCCCCTTACCCAGCAAGTGAGCGGGGACGAGCTGCGGGAGATAGTGGGCCTTCTGGCCCGACTGGCGCTAAAGCACGAGGACACCGAAGCGGCCCTACGCTCCGACACTTCTTTCATGCTCTACCTGAACACCCGCGGGATGTCCATCACGAACACCCTCTACAACGTGGCCCAGGACTGGAAGAAGCTCAAGGAAGAGGGCCGGCTCAACCAGTCACTCCGAGTCACCCTGTTCATTGCGATGCTGACCGCCATGAAGGAGAAGATGAAAACGGCCCTCCACGAGGAGATCCGCCCTGTACTGGAGAAACACTCCTGGCTCACAGCGGGGAACCCGCCCGCCTGGGCGTACATGACGTACAACCAGGAAAAGGGGGAAACCGAGGTCGACGCAATCAAGACACCACTCCCGCACGCGGACGTGGAGCAGGCCGTCCAGCGCATCTTCGAGCTCGTGTCGGTGGACGGCCTCCTGCACAAGTTCCATGCGACACGCCCGATGGCGCAACAATACCGGTCCGAGGTGCTCCCCTTCATCCTCATGGTCTCCAACCGGGGACCACTGGCGGACGAGCTTTACAATCTGTTGGTCAAGCTGAGCAACAACGCCTGCCTCCAGCTGATCGGCATTCGGATGCGGCCGGACCACATGAAGCGCCAACCCCTTGCGGTGAAGCTGGGCCAATGTGCAGAGAGCCTCCTGACCGCCACGAATCCCTACCGGGGCGCCAAGCAGACAGAGGAGACCACCAACGCGGACGCCAAGGAGGATGGCGAGAAGGAAAAGGCGCTTCTCTAGAGCCGCCTACGGACGGCCCCGTGCCCCTGAGGGGGCCAGCGACGCCGCACAGGCCGGACCCCATCTACCTAAGCAACCCTCACAACCTGTGCTACATGAATGCTTGCATCACATCCCTGCATTGGCTAGGACAGCAAACGGGAGCATGCGATGCCTATTTCGGGGACTTAGGTGCGGCACTGAGGAGCTGCCGCCAGGGCACCCCACGCAAACCCGTGCATGTGCCAGGCCTAATGCTTTGGGGATCTCACCTTCGAGCCTGGCCCAATCTCAGGCAGCAGCACGATGTCACAGAATTCTGGGGGTATCTAATGGAACGCGCACAGCCCGCAAACATGGCAGGTACATGGGAAGCCAGGCTCCCTGGCAGAGGCCTGCAGGGAGTGCACGACATTGGCCAATTGTGGACGCCAATCCCCATGGATCTGCCTGCACGTGACCTCCAAACGCTCATCACAGGATGGAGCGAACAGCATTACCCGCATGCGCTGGTAGCTGAGACACCCTTTATCACAATACAGATAAAGCGCTACGACTACCATGATAGAGCCTATAAGCGCCTTGATCCCATCATACTCAGGCCCGACACTGTTGTCCAGGTGCCGATCTTTCGCACAGGCCGGGGGAATGAGCGATATCATGTGCCTTATCGCTTGTCATTCGCAGTTGTACACGTCGGAAACACGCCGCACTCTGGCCACTATCAGGCCGCCCTGAGTTGCGGGCCGAGTTTCTTTCTGAGCGATGATGGTGTCGCAGCTAAGCCAATGAGAGCGCAGGAACACAATTGGGTAGCACAGAACTGCTACTTGATTGGCCTCATGCG